AAACCTAATCCTGAAATAGAAATGTGAAAAAATCTTCTTAAATGGCAGTGTCAACACAAATAGATGAATAAAACCATATCAAATTTCAGACCTATTTATTATCACCATAACAGACAGGGTTTGTGCAGACCAATGTAGAGACCAAATGAGTGTCAGAATATGTAGCATATGTTATCATGAAATATCTTAAATATGACCGTAAAATATCATAACCATAAATTGTCATAACCATGAAATGATTGTTTCTAGGGGAATTCAAAATTATTGTACAAAATCAAAACTTATCAACCTACACCATGACAATTACCACCTCTTTATATGACTAGCGTTTTGGTATAGCAATCATCATATTCCAACTATAAAATGGGATGTATAAATCTCAAAAAAATTGATTAAACAATAATCTGTAAAAAACCTGAAACCGCTGTCACATAGTACTATGGGAGAGCTTCACAAGAGCTTCATACATGTTAAATATGGTTATGATCAAAATGTTGAAATATTAAATTCAGATTCAAAAAAATGATGGAATAAAAAAACCTGGTCTATTGGAGGGTCCTCTCCAATGGTCTAATCACCCCTATCCAAGGTCCACTATGGTGAGTAGGCATGCTCAGGAAGATGAAGACAGGAACGAAGACAGGAACAAAGAAGTTGATGGACCTCCACAGTCCACAGTAGGGCTCAGTGGTGTGGCTCAGCCGGTCAGCTTGACCGGTTACTACTGGGCTTGATCTGGGCCACCTGTCGACTCTGGTCAGGATAAAATGAGCGACCTGGTCCTCTTGGGAATCATGACCAAGGTCGAGAGATTATCCCCTCAGCTGTTCGCTACTAGAAGCCGAAGGCAGCTAAGCCATACCCTAACACCCTGTTAAAAAATTAACAGGTTGATATAACCTCTTGACAGACACGTGGAGAACAGAAAAAAACTGATATCAAAGGGAAATATTGCTCACCAAGTTGATAGTCATTGCTCTGCATATGACTTACCTTCTGAGAAGGGAGGAAGGACTTGAAGAACAATTAGTTTGGAGTCTTCATACGCTGAAAAAGCCGGCTGCAGGGCTTCCTGGGGACATCAGGCAGTCTCCGAAAAGTGGGAACAAATCCTACACAGGTCCATGGCCAGAATCACTGATGTTTTTGAACAATTTCAAAAAAATTTCAAATCCCCCGAAGGGTTTCTACGGATTATACCGAGAAAAGAAAAAATGCTCAAACTGGCTCAAGTGCACACCATGACGGTCGCCGAGAAAAAGCCTCGAGATAGCTACCGGAAATCTCCTCCTAAAATTCCCTATCTAAACTTATCTTATCTAAAGAAGTGCTTCCTGCCAAAATTCAGCGCCAAATATGAAATCCTATTATTTCATTGGTCAGAAGAAAAACACAAGAATTACTAGGTCCAAACTAACAGAAGAAGTACCGAAGAAAGAAAAGAAAAAGAAGAGTCTTCTTTTTCTTCGGTAGTACTATGTCACAACATTGTAAGATTGTGCTTAAGTCCTACTCACAGAAGATGAGTGACATACTGGACAATGACGTTTGGATGACAATATTATAACCCTAAATAAATTCCAGAAAATAAAGAAAATAATTCTTCCAACACCGAAAATACCATTTCAGATCGAAAAATCACCTTGAATAATCCCTGAAATAAACCAGCGACATGGGCTTTATCACACCTGCGAACACACTGGTAAGTCGTTTGTTTACTCTCGGAAGGGACAACAACCTTGAACTATTTCTTCGAATTCTAGGCCTCTAGGATCAGAACGCCAGAAATCAAAGACTCCTGCAGCTTATATCATCACCTCCCATCGGCACATAGAAATTCAGAAGACATTACTAATCATGACTGTTATTGTTTCTATACTGTTATTCAAAAATGTGTGATAAAGTGGTTCATTAAAAGTTACATTCAAGTACTTCAGGATTATTTACCAAGTATCAGACTGAATGTTCTCTGTAAGTATGACTTCTTGTCTAGATCTGAAATGTTAATATTTACAAAATGGTAATGTATGAAACAAAAAAAATGAAAATGATTCTTTGCAACTCTAAATGTTGCACTAAAGCAAATTCGCTTGAATTTTCATGCAAACGATACTAAAAATTATTTTGTAGCAATTTCAAATGCTACAACGTTGAGAATCAAATTTTTGATGCGCTGATTTCGCTCGGTATTACCAAATTCTATATGTTATCTTGATATTTCGTCAAAATTGAGAAATTTTGAATTTGCCAAAAGTGATGACGTATCTTACCTCGTATCTTACAAACCGATCATTTTCTCAAAATTTTCAAACGGAACACCCTGTATTCAATTCCATTCTTGGATACAGCTCAAAAAAAGAAGTTCAATGATTTATAACATTATTCTGAGATCACCCGTTCCGGACTTACCCATGATCTTCTTCAATAAATAATCACTCTAACAACGTTCCTAACGTTGTCATGCGCGGTTTTCGTTATAACTCAACAAAATCTGTATGTTATTTTTATCGTCGGTCAAAATTCAAATACCTTGAATCCGCCAAAAAGGCTGTATTTTGAAATATCGAGAAAATGATCAGTTTTCAAAATACAGCATCACTTTTGGCATTCAAGAGATTTGAATTCTGACCGACGATGAAGATAACATACAGGATTTTTTGATTTGACTATTTATTGAAGAAGATCATGAATAAGTCCGAAACGGGTGATCTCAGACTGATGTTATCACATATCATTGAACTCGTTATTCTGAGTTGTATCCAAGAATAAAATGAAATACAGGGTGTTCCATTTGAAAATACTGAGAAAATGATCGGTTTGCAAAATACGTCATCACTTTTGGCAAATTCAAAATACAGAATAACATACAGAATTTGTTAATTCCTGGCGAAAACTGCGCATCAAAAACTTGATTCTCAACGTTCCTATAGGGCTTTGAAATTTGGCTAATTATTGAAGAAGATCGTGTAGAATTCCGAAACGGTTGATCTCAGACTCATGTCATCATACATCATTGAACTCGTCTCTTTGAGGTATATCCAGAAATCTAATGAAATTTAGGTTATTCCATTTGAATAAAACGTATGTTTGGTATGTCACAGACATATGGATCATCCTGTATAGTTGAAAGAAAGTTCAAATTACTGTGAACAACATTGATTGTCAACTTTTTTTCATCTATAAAGGGGTGGCCAATATTATGGGGGATACCCTGTACATGGGGATTTTAGGGGACAGTGATTATGAATTTTCAGTGAAACGATACCTTGTTCACGAACTCTAGATAACGTCTCCAAGATGGCGAATTAGTTTTGTAATATTATTTATAGTCTGAAAGAGAAATGCGAGTGGTAAACTGCGGTCGAAAATTCGTACACCAAACTTCAATTTCGCAAGGGATTTTAAGAAACTCTAAGGAATTCCATGGAATTTCATGAAAATTCAAGGAATTCCAGAGCATGCGTATAGATGAAAATATTGAGGAATTTCAAAGGATTCCAAAATAATCCAAGGAAATCCATGGAATTCCAGAGCGGCCTTAGCAAGAAATATTGAGGAATTCCGAAGCATTCCAAAGAACTCTAAGGAATTCCAGGAAATTCCAAGTTGATTCAAGGAATTTCAAGACAATCCAAGGGATTCCAAAGAAATCTGAAAAATCCCAGGAAATTTCAAGAAAGTCCAAGGAATTCCAGAGCATGAAATTCGAAGGAATTACGAGGAATTCCATGGAATTTCAAGATATTTGGCACACCCTGTATAGCTAGAGAACTAAAAATATTTCAGGTAGACTGGAAATGATTGATTATAACAGCTTATCAAATTTTCAAGTTTTCAATCCATCTCCAAGTTGAAGAACATCTAATGTGTTGTCTACGTAAATCACCCTGTGTATATATAATATACAGGGTGCCCATTTTTCGAGCTCCACCATGGGGATCTCAGTTATTGTGAGAGATACGAGGTTAGTTGAATTAGGGTAAAGTTGCGCATTTTCATGACGAACAATTATCCGAGAGAAAATTTGACGTGTCATTTTCAGTTTTTGAATTATTGGAAGAAAACGAAAATTTGTGATTTTCGTTTTTATTATTTTCTGACTTCATTTGAAGTGAGAGTACAAAATTAGTTCTATATTAGCATTGGCACTTTTTCTGCTCTATCCAGTGACATCAATAGATTCGTGATCCGACTTCTCGTCTTCGAGGAGCCATCATCAACTTTGTTTTTTCAAATGGCCGAAACACATTTTTTTGTTCCTGAAAAACTCTAAATGTCAATTCGGACCAAAAGAGCATCATCAGTGTTATTTGATGATGGTTACGAGGAAACGAAACGTCGGAACAAAAATCTGATGATGGCATCTTGACACTTCTGGACCCCCTCCATATCAATGCAGTTTTTCAGCCCTAATGTTCGATCGAAAACTTATCCCATAGAGAATTCTACACAGAATCCAGTGGCGCACTAAATTTTTTTCTCAATATGGGATGCACTGTACAGTCTGAAATATTGTATTTTTAACCATCCAAATGGAAATTTTATATTAGGTACTTCCACGTCAAGAACGTAGTTGTTTTCAATTAGATTCGTTAACAATATTTTTATCATTTTCAAAATAAGAAGAACTTTCACTTTATAATCAGAATCGGATTATTATCACAAAACTCGTCCGCCATCTTGGAGCCGCTATCAAAGAATTAACAAATTCATTTTTGACCCCGCAAACCTCCACATACCAACTAAGCCGTCTTCTCATCTGTCACAAATTTCATAATGCATTGGAACTATGAACACCTGGCAAATTTCAAGTCTATCGGGCAACTATAAGTGCATCCAATGTGACTTTCAAAATTTGTACCGAACAGATAGACAGACAAGAAACAGAGTTAATAATAACGTAGTTACAGTAAAATTGAGATTTTTAGGTAATTGCAATTAAAGCTAACACCATGGAACATACATGTACTAATCTACCAAGCCAATTATATTTTACATAGTTTCAGATTCGCTTATGATTAGTAAGCATACTTATGATCATGAAGTATGCTCTCGTCCGATTCACAGATGGTATTTACCACATCGCCCGAAGTGACGAAATCAAAAATATGAAAAAAGGAATACATGAAGCATCAGTATTTTGGAAAAAACATAGATGTTTTTATTTAGCTACAATTTTGAAAGAATGTTGCAATAAAGCAAACCTGGTCAAATTGAAAAAAGACTATGAATCAGGTAAGTCAGAAACAAATCCAGTAACTACACTCAAGATACCAATGTAACTTTTTAATTAGGGAACCATACACACCTTGTTCAGAATGTATAAATCATCGAGCCCAGTGTAAAATCATCCAACATATTCATATATCACTGCATCTCTGCCTACACTATCTGATTAGCTTCTAGAGACCTGGCAAGCAGCTTCAATCATATGCGCATGCGCTAAATTATAGATACATGGGGTTTCAAATTCGATGGCCTATTAAACTTCTAATGATTTTCTGACCATTTTATGCAACTGAGTCTATTCCATTAATTTTGTCTGTCGGCTGGACAAGATCACCAAATTGAAAGAAATGCACAAATTTTAAAACACACAATCAGGAAGGTTGAAAATAACACTATTGTTTCTTCAATCTCGTTTTCCTAATTTCAATCGAATTTTTAGGTGAAATGCGGAATGAAGAAATTCTACAAATACAAGAGCGGACACTTATTGTAGATTTGAGCGGCTCTTCTCTGGATTGTGAGTCAGCCAACCACTGTGAATCAGTTAAAGGTGAGGATCTTTATTTTCATAATGAGGAAGCTTAGGAACATTCTCCAATCTTTTACGTAGTTTTTGGGAAAAAGCTTGGGCAAAAGAACGTGAAATCAAATATTTTATACTGGAAACACTACTCACAATGAAAACTGAAGAATTGAAAATATCCATCAGGATGCCATTGAAATGGTGCAAAATATTCTGTGGGGTGATTAAATCAATGAAAATAGTATGAAACGTTCCTATGAATATGTGTCAAGAAACGATTCATCCAATATATCGACCAATCAGAATTTACTTGGCCCCATACTTCCGTGAATTATCAAGTAACATGACGTGATTTTTATTATCATGGCAAACTGTCACTCAAATGGACTTGATAAAATGGCAATATCTCCGTAGTTTTCGGAGGTAACACCATCACACGTGTTATCGTCGAATTTCTTATGATTATCCCTAACAGATCATGTGATGATTAACAAGGTGTTCCTTCAAAAATGTCAAAGTTGCTACCACTATCTGCTTGAAACGGTAACACTGTATTCTCGAGAATGTTTCAAACGAAAATACATATGTCTAAACATCAATGCACATTTACAGGGTGTCTTTAAAAGGTATTTGAAAAAAATTAACACATATTTCACAGACGAAAACAATTCGATGCAAGCAAACTTACCTTAGTACCAAGTTGCTTAGTTAGGGCGCTAGACGTCTCTGATGTTACAATTTTCAACTCGTTTTTGCTTTATAACTTTCAAACGACTCTTGAGATTTAATTCAAATTTGGTACGTTGGCATAGCTGTATTGGGCAATAAAACCCATGTCATTATAATAGCATTCCATGATCGTAGAATTTTTTCAGGAAATAGACATCAAAAACTTATACGCCAATGGAAAAATAGATATTCGATAATGAAAGTTGGATCGCGTAACTTATTTACTACCTACCAAAAAGGTACTCTTGATAAAATTCGATTACTCTCATGGTTTCGAATTTCATCAAGAGTAACTTTTTGTAGTAAATGAGTTGCATAATCCAAATTTTATACTCAATCTACTGTTTTTTCAATGACTTTAAAGTTGTGATGTATATTAACTGAAGAAATCAACTTCTATTTCCATGGAATGATATTCATCATCATTATGATATGGGTTTCATTGTACCAAAAAGGTGACCCAATGCAACATATTTGAGTAAAATCCCCTGAGCCGTTTCAAAGTTATAAAGCAGAAAGAATTTGAAAATTGTAATTTCAGAGCCGTCTAGCGCCCAAACTAAGCAACTGAGGTAAGTTTGTTTGCATCGAATTGTTTTGGTCTGAGGAATATGTGGTATACTTTTGTAGAGATCTTTTTGGGACACCCTGTATAAACTGATAAATGACAGAAAATATGATTATATGTAGGCTAATGTGGAAAAATATTAATTCTTCAGATTTCACTCTAGATGACAGATATGTTGATGAGTTTGGAGATATATCCTCCTCCATGGAGTCTCAAGTTCCAGAGATGGCCTCACAAAGGCAAACAGTTGATGGTATGAAAACTTTCATGATGAGTTGCTATAGTACATTTCTAAATCTATTATATATTTATTCCAGATGAGGCTTATGATGCAATCAAGTCCCAAAGTAAAGAGTATGCAGTCCTGAAAACAATAGAACAACAAACAGTTGATGGTAAGATAATATTTGTTATTGAAAAGATATAGAACATGAATCGAATAGAAATCTGAACGAATGTTCTACCTATTCTATTTTCCATTCCCTTTATATAGGAAATATGATTATGGGCTAATATAGGAAAATATTAATTCTTCAGATCTCACCCTGGATGACAGGATTAACATCACAGAGTTCACAGAGTTTGGAGACATGGAGAATCATGCTCCAGAGATGGCCTCACGAAGGCAAACAGTTGATGGTATGAAAACTTTCATGATGAGTTGCTATAGTACATTTCTAAATCTATAACATATTCATTCTAGATGAGACTTATGATGCAATCAAGTCCCAAAGTAAAGAGTATGCAGTCCTGAAAACAATAGAACAACAAACAGTTGATGGTAAGATAATATTTGTTATTGAAAAGATATAGAACATGAATCGAATAGAAATCTGAAAATGTTGATAATGAGGGAAAAACTCACCTGAATAATAATTTTCACAAATTCACTTCTGCATGCGATAATAATTGTTTTGCAAAACATTTGCTTCTTCACGGTGTATATCACACTGAAGTGAACAAAGTAGGTAAATATAAAGTAACATAAATCAAAGAATGACCAAGTAAATCCAGGGCGGTAGGTATATAGATTAACTGTTCAGACAGACATACAGATGAGGTGAATACATTTCACAAGCGGCTGTTGCTGGTCGTTACGTTGAAGGTTTAATTTTATTCCTTTACGAATAATTTGTTAGAAGAATCCCATATGCTTAGAGATAATTTCGAAATTTTGCATGCTGAAAATGAAGGAATGAAATCGAACCTGATGAAATCATCAGAAGTCAATAAATTAAAACGATTAAATACATAACTAAACGACTAGTTAGGCTTGAACAACAGCCCCTTGTTAAATTCACCTAATCTGTATGTCCGCCTGAAAAGTTAATCCATATACCTATACCGCCCTGGATTTACCTATGGTCGTTCTTTATGTTACTTTGTATTCACCTACTTTATTTCAATTCCATAAAAATTAAATCGTAAAATCAATTCAGTGTGATATACACCGTGAAGGAACTAATGTTCAGCTAAACAATTGTTGTGTGCGTGAGTTTTTTTCCTCACTGTTATTATGAATTTTCATCAAGTTGAAGCCGATTCAATTCAATAATTGAAAATTTTAATAGTTTTGAAACACTAGCTATAAGAAACGAGATATTCTATAACCATTCATAACGAATGTTCTACCTATTCTATTTTCCATTCCCTTTATATAGGAAATATGATTATGGGCTAATATAGGAAAATATTAATTCTTCAGATCTCACCCTGGATGACAGGATTAACATCACAGAGTTCACAGAGTTTGGAGACATGGAGAATCATGCTCCAGAGATGGCCTCACGAAGGCAAACAGTTGATGGTATGAAAACTTTCATGATGAGATGCTATAGTACATTTCTAAATCTATAACATATTCATTCTAGATGAGGCTTATGATGCAATCAAGTCCCAAAATGAAGACTATGCAGTCCCGAAAACAATAGAACACTCATCTATAGATGCTGAAAATACGGCCAACCAAATGCAAACAGTTGATGGTAAGATAATATTAATAGTTAATCGAAGCACAAGTTATAAACTTTCAAACGTTTTATAACGAATGTTCTACTTATACTATTTTATATGTTGAGGCCTCCTAACAAAATGCATATTTTTCTCAATCAGAATAGTATATGACAGTCATGGAAGTTTGACATGGTGTTACGGCTCGATCTTCCATCAAAATACATGCAGTGCCAACACAGAATAGTTATTTCTTTCAAGTACAAAATTCAATTTAATCTTATTCTTTTCTGCCATATGAATCATATAATTTTATCTTCAAATTCGTTCCAATTTTACGCAAAATCCAAATAATTAAATCCACACAATATTTAAATGAGCTTTTTAATGACGCTTGACAGGCACAAAAGGTGTTCTCTTCCTGCCTAGGCAGTGAAAATATACATTTGTGCCTGTCAAGTATCATTAAAAAGAGACTTTCAATGGCATTTGGAGAAAAAATATATTTATCCAATATATCTCAAGTCTTAACAATTTCATTACAGATTTTTGCAAATCATCCTAAATTATCGTGATTCTGAAAATAGTAATTCACGTAATAAGTCTGGAGAAAAATTTTTCCGGGCGTGTTGCACTACACTATTTCTTTGGCAACCGTGTGAATAAAAAATCAATCAAGCTCATTTTTACGTTATCTCTCTTCGTAGAACATTCTAAATTTTGTGTGTATCAATATTTTCCAGCGTAGTCCGGAAAGTACTAACTTCACAGATGATTTTCTATCAAAATATGCTACTCTTTCAAAGAAAAATCGTCCATGAAGTGTATTCTTTCCGGACGGTTGCCAGCAATTATACAGGGTGTTTCACTTTTTCGTAGCAGGATTTCAACAGCTTGAAGGAGACATTTTTTGAGATGAAAATCTCACATAAACATATAGGCGTGATTGCTCCATTTCCGATTTACAGGGTGTCAAAGTTTCAGATTTTTTTTTGTTTTTTTTCGAATTTTCTCCTGCAATTTTCAGAAAAATTGATTAAAATTTGGTACACCTAATACACTTCAAAAACTCAATATTTAGGGTTATGGAGCGTTTTTGAATACCTATTACAGGGTAATAGACTTTTAGGGGTCGTACCCAATTTAACCTTGTAGAACTTTTTTGCGTGCCGCCTCTAATTCCAATGAGACATCAATTCGGATTTCCTCTTTGATTTGGAAACTTTTTGCCCCCATGTATGTTTTTCGAAAACTGTATGGATTTCGAGATAATTGCCAAAAATGAATTAATTGTAATGAAACCGTTATTCCTCGAACAGACTTATTTGACATTTCTCAATAATTTGATAGCAAAAATTGAATGACCGAAAGCTTCCATACCAAATGAAATTCAGTTGCAAAATTAAATTGAATTTTTTTAACACCTTTATAAGTAAAACTAGTAAAAACAGAAAAAAAATAAATAAAAAAAACTTCTCTAACTGGATTGCGAAATCTGAAAATGTATTGTAGAAAATTCTAGGACTGAAACTGGTTGAACTTTTGATATCAGGGATTGTATGACACACGGTCTAGGCGCTATACATCGCTAGACTGTGGCTTCTCACGGTTGAGCTGTTGTGGGTTTTTGGCATTTATCTCGAAATCCATACAGTTTCCGGAAATCATACATAGAGGCATAAAGTTTCCGAATTGGAAAGACAATCTGAATCGATGTCTTATTGAGAGCAGAGGCGACACGCAAAAAAGTTCTACAGGGTTAAATAATAGGGTTACGACCCCCAAAAGTCCATCACCCTGTAGGTATTCGAAAACGCTCAATAGCCCAAAATATTGAGTTTTTAGAGTGTATTATGTGTACCAAATTTCAATCAATTATTCCGAAAATTTGAGGAGAAAATTAAAAAAAATCAAAAAAATCTGAAACTTTGACACCCTGTAAATCGGAAACGGAGCTCTCACGCATATATGTTTATATAAAATTTTCATCTTGAAAAAATGTATTATTCAGCTGTTGTAGTCCTGCTCCAAAAAAGTGAAACACCCTGTATATTGTTGAGTTTCGGGTCGAAGTACCTATAGCGAATTCCACTGGCAGCACTGGTACGAACTTTTATCGCACTGAATGTATTTCTGTCTCAGCTCGTCACATAGGACTGAAGAAGGATAGATATACACTGAGTGCGCACTAGTTTTACCAGTGGAATTCGCTATTATTGTGACTTTGGTTTTATGTCAAAATACGAACGAGTCATAGAAAGTGACACTTCAACTTATCATGCGACGATAAATTATTCTTGCTTATTTTTCTTCTAGCTCCAAAAGTCAGTGGAAGGAACATAAATATTTTATCTTTACATGTTATACCGGCACCAACAGAAGCTATTGACAAGAATAAATCAAAAGAGAAGTATCCTTCAAAGGACCAATACTGCATTTTTTGTAAATCAAAGGTTAAACGATTTGGAAGACATATAGCGGGAAAACATAAAGGCGAAGAAGAGGTGAAAGAAATTTTCAATTACGAAAAAAAATCGATTGAAAGGAAAAGAATAATAGACAAACTTAGGAGTAAAGGAAACTATGAATTCAATCATAAAGAGCATTCGACCAAAATTGTGGCACGAAGATCTATCAATAAGGCTTCGCCCAGAGAATACACTGATTGTCCCTCATGTTTGGTGCGTGTATCTAAAGTTTCTCTGAGAAGGCACTATAGAAAATGCAACGCGAATACACAGGATAACACACGTGATACGTATGTGAAAAGTAAACGAGTGACACTCAGTTTACATCCCCTGGCTCACTCGATATTAAAGGATCATATATTTCCTGTATTCAGAAATGACGCCAATATTCGAGTGATTCGCAATGACTATCTAGCCATATTGTATGGCAATAAATTAGTAGCAAAATATCGGTCGCCGCATCATTACAAGATGATAAGGGCCAATATGAGATATATTGGCCGTTTTTTACTGGAAATGAAAAGACGATCGAATAAAATTGCCGATTTCGCCTCTTGCTTCATTCCATGTCATTATGATGATGTTGTTGAATCAATTAAAGTTGTTGCTGGCTTTGACGATAGAATAGGAGCATTCAATGCACCCAATACGGCCTCTACTCTGGGTACATTATTGAAGTTTTGTGCTGCAATTTTAGAATCTGATTACATAAAGAAGCAAAATGAACATAAAAGGCGGGAGGTTGAAAATTTTCTCAAACTATTGAGGACAGAATTCCCTACTGATATAAATAAAACAGCTACAGAAAATCAAGCGACCATACGGAGACGGAAAAAAATAATTTTACCCTCGTCATCAGATATAAAAAAATTTATTGAATATTTGAGAGCCATGAGAACATCCCTTTCGAATGAAATTATGCAAGAGTTTTCATATACAGCATGGAAAAGTTTGGCAGGTTACACCTTGGTGGGGATAATGGTATATAATGGTAGACGCCCCGGTGAAATTGAAAGATTAACAATATCTGACTATAAAGAATCTTCTCTTTCGGTGAGTCAAAATCCCGAACTGCTTGAATCTCGACCAAGCCATCAGAATAGTGATTCTTCTTATACAAGGTGTGTACTGCGAGGAAAACTTTGCCGAAACGTTACAATTGTATTGCACGAGGACGAAGTCAAATGTATCAATTTGATCCTGAACAACAGGATTATTGCTGGCGTTGATGACGAAAATACATTTGTATTTGGTTTGCCAGGCCCAAGACCTCATAAATTCCTGAGTGCTAGTTTACTTCTGAAGAAATTTGCAGCTGAAGCAAATTTAAATAACCCAGAGCGTTTTTTTGCAACGAATATAAGGAAAAATTTAGCTACCAAGTCGAGTAAACTGGATCTCCAACCCGAGGATCGTGAGCATATAATGAATTTCATGGGACACTCGGAAAAAATTCATAAAGGAATTTACAGACAACCAGATTATGATAAGGATATATTCATCATGCCAAAAGTATTGGACTTCGTTTCAGGAAATACTGGAAATAATGGTTCATCCTCTGAAAAAAATCCTCGTACTATACCTCCAAACAATTCAGATATAACATATTCTTCTTCTCTTTCTGGATCACATGTTGAAAGCGATTTTGATAAACCAAATTCACCTTGTAATTCTAAATCACATGTTGAAAGCAATTTTGATAAACCAAATTCAACGTGTCATTCTAAATCACATGTCAGAAGATCTCCTCTGTCAGTTATGCAGGAAAAATCCTGGGATAGCCCAGACACAGGCTCTGAATACAATCCAAATGATGATACTTCTGATAGTTCTAATGCTGTTGAAGAGGTGGAAGACAGAAAGGGAAAAATAATAGGAAAAGGGAAAAGAAAAAAACTAATTGGTGAGCACAATATCATTTCGTCATAATTTCGGTTGCAACGATCAATAGAGGTCAATTTACCATTAGGTAAATATGACACATTAAAATAATTTGGATGTTTCATCAAACATTTTTGGAAAACATATTTACCCCACCGTGATGTTCGTCAATGGAGTCGTAGGAAAAGAACTGCTTTCATTCATATTGAATCCGACGATATTTTGTAATCATTTTAAACTTCTTATGCCCAGTTCAATGAAGGGAAAGTTATTACAGGATCTCAGTAGAGTCCTAACAATAAGTATCGAATGAATAGTGTCAATCTTTGTATACAACTTATAACTTATTCATTGACTTGTTCTCATATTGTGAAATTTTGGTCATATTTACATATGGAAGGTGTGGTTTGTTTCATATCGATTAGATGTACCGTTTTCGAATGAAACCCAATCAAAAATTGTATTGAAAATATGGAATATTGATGTAAAAAATTCCAAAAGAATTGGAACCCGATTTCATGTGTTGGTAACATATCACTCCTTGAAAAATTTTGTTCGTAATCTTATAATATTCGAATCAGTAGCGTATCAACATTTTTTTTTTCAATATTATGATCCATGCTATGAAAATATCGCCAAATGGACTGTTGAAAAACGGATTATCCAATCAGCAAGAAACGCGACTACGTCTATTATGTCAATAATTGAATTGCAAACTAAGTAGAGTTTTTAGTTTTTTTATATTCGTGAAAAAAATTCACTTTTACAACTGAAAAATAAGAATTTACTACAAAAATTTGTAAAGATCTATTGAACAGGCTACTAAATGCGCTACTTTTCTCTCATCGAACCGAATCTGTATCGATTATAATTTCCGAGATCCCAATTATGTGCATTCTTATCTTGGGCAGAATGAGGAAATCATAGACTCAGGCTCATCTTCAAACCTACTTTGCACCTATCAGATATACTGAGTGATTTTTAGTCTGTTGATAAAAATCGCGCTGTTCGAAATTTGCAAGATCTACAAAGTTATATTTTTCGGAAAATAGGTAACATTTCATGAATATCACTCAGTATATCTGATAGGAGCTGAGTTGAGCCTGAGTTGATGAGAAGAAAGAATTTTCTGCTTACTTTTTGATTGTCACTGCAGATTGAGAATTCAGAAAGGTTTTGATCGATTGTATTAATTAGTAAAAAACTGTATAACAATAATATATTCACTTGTTGAATACTGTCTCATCAAATTAATCTTCACTAGTTAGTTTTGAAGCCTTCCTGAAGTTCTCTTTCCATTTCTGAAAGTATAAATATATATCGAGCTGAGTCTGTGAAAGAACAGATAATTTGATCTGTCTCTCTGAATAAAATTCACAGTGAACCTGGAAGGAAATTTTGCAGATAACTAACAGTAACTGTTTCTGAAAATTTGAGATCGAAAGTTTAATGAAATTGTGAAATATTATTTGAATGTATACAACATATATCATCTTATCAGTTCATGGATTTCCCATTAAGGCTCGACTAAAAACATTCATCCTTCTAAGCAATATTCTCAGATTTTCAATTATTAGAATTACTCGATTTATTCTTTCATTGTCATAGCTGGAAATAACAACGGACCGCGGTTTCGCTTTCCTTAAAGCTCGTCAGCGCTGTATAATTTCCAACCATGACGACGAAAGAACGGATCGAGTATTTGTAAGCGAGTTAACAGCACCCGTGAGCGAAGTGTTATAAAATGACAGAGCGCCATCTTTGGACAAGGTCTGTGATTAATGGTCAGAAAATCCGTTTCCAAAATCTAGGACACATCGTGATTGATGGTTATCCGACTTTCCTAGATTTTGGAAACGGATTTTCTGACCATTAATCACAGACCTTGTCCAAAGATGGCGCTCTGTCATTTTATAACACTTCGCTCACGGGTGCTGTTAACTCGCTTACAAATACTCGATCCGTTCTTTCGTCGTCATGGTTGGAAATTACACAGCGCTGACAAGCTTTAAGGAAAGCGAAACTGCGGTCCGTTGTTATTTCTAGCTATGACAATGAAAGAATAAATCGAGTAATTCAAATTCAATGCTTATGGTGGCATCTCACCAATAGGACACATCGTGATTGATGGTTATCCGACTTTCCTAGATTTTGGAAACGGATTTTCTGACCATTAATCGCAGACCTTGTCCAAAGATGGCGCTCTGTCATTTTATTTCAATTATTACATTAGAAACCCATTCGAATAGTAATATAAATAATACTAACAGCGAATGGTTTGTCTGGTATAATGTTTCGCGAATTCATATAAATTCATATTTCTCAATATAATGAAATAGTATCAGAAATATTGTTATTGATAATTTAAAAAAAACATATTTCTCTTTGCTGTAGATATGTACCTAGGCTATGTTCCTCGCAAATCTTGGACTACAGAAGAGAGGCACGCCGCCCGCAAGTACTTTCAAAGTGAATTCTCAAAATGTATGTCACCGACATCTTCCAGATGCTTCTCAGCAGTAAAAGATGTAGAGGAGCTGAAAAATCGAACACCAAGGCAGTTGAAAGCGTGGATTCACAATGAAATTAATAAATCTAAGAAAAAAGCCCAAACTGCTAATATGAAAGGTACGTATAATTTTGATTCATCAATCAACATTCTGATTCTCAGATTATTTAAAACAAATATACAAGGTGACATTTCTAAAACTTCCCACCCTCAATATCTCCCTTCCAGTAAATAATATGAAAAATCGAAAAGACACGTCAATTTTATTTTCGAGGGGGACACGTTGAATGAATATTTTGAACCCCAATGGTTCAACCCCCTAGGAGGGGTAGGTGTTACCCTCAGAATCTCAAATGGGAAGGGGGGTCAAGTGGCACATCATTTTGAAGGACGGTCAATTTTCTATTCAACGGTACCTTAGTTCATTGGTCTAGCGGGAATGATAACAGAGATATAGGGAGATTTTTCAACTTTACGATTTTTTTCTGTTGAAACTATTCATTATTGGTCAAAACGGCTTCCATGTCCCTATCTTAACTTTTGATTCACTATCTACCGACATTTAATTGGAACAGATACAGGGTGATCTGAATTATGAAACTTGAACCACACTGTATTTGTTCCAATTGAATGTCAGTAGATAGTAAATCAAAAGTTAAGATAGGGACATGTAAGCCGTTCTGACCAATAACGAATAGTTTCGACAGAAAAAATTGTAAAGTCTGTTATCATTCCCGCTAGACCAATAAACTGAGGTACCGTTGAATAGAGAATTGACCGTCCTTCAAAATGATGTGCCACTTAACCCCCCTTCCCATTTAAGATTCTGAAGGTAACACCTACCCCTCCTAGGGGGTTGAACCATTGGGGTTATAAATATTCATTCAACGTGTCCCCCTCGAAAATAAAATTGACCTGTCTTTTCGATTTTTCATATTATTTATTGGAAGGGAGATATTGAGGGTGGGAAGTTTTCAAATTGACACCCTGTATATAATAAGCTGCAACTTCTTCTCTGCCAATACAAACAGCACTGTGAGAGTACTAGAACGGACTTTGAAAAAAATCCTTATTATGAAAGAGTGTAGCTGTTATTAATATCAAACTATGCATTGTAGCAATGAAAATACTCAATTTTTATCGCTTGCTTGTCCCTATAGAGCCTCTTCAGAAAGTAATCCCCCTCCGGAGAATATTTTTGTTCTTAATGTTTTTTTTTTCAATATTCGTCTATACAGGGTGTCTGTTTTTCGAGCTCCTCAATGGGGATCTCAGTTATTATAGGAAATACGAGGTTGGGTAAATTAGGGCAAAGTTGCTCAATTTGATGCTGATCATGATGCTGCTCCAAAACTTTGGAAATTCCGAATACTTGAAAAAAAACCGAGAAAATAACCGAATATCCGCGATTTCGATTTTATTTTTTTCTGACTTTATTTGAAGTGATAGTACAAATGAGTTCCATATTAGCATTGTCACTTTTTCCGCTCTATCCAATGACATAAATAGATTCGTGATCCAACGTTTCGTCTTCGAGGAGCCATCATCAACTTTGTTCTTTCTAATGGCCGAAAAAAAAATTCCCAAAGAACTCTAATTCCGATTCTGAATCTAACGACATATAAAAATTCACAATTATCCGACGTTTCGAACCAAAAAATCATCATCAGTGTTATTTGATGATGGTTACGAGGAAACGAAACGTCGGATAATTGTGGAGTTCCATATGTCGTTGGATTCAGAATTGGAATTAGAGTTTTTCAGGAACAAAACATTTTGTTCAGCCTTCCAAGCATCGAAATGTTATCAAATTCGTGTTACAGCCAACTTGAAGTTTTTGAATAAAATGCAATTCAGCAGCCAATTGAGAAACGAAAGCCACTTTGCCATACATGACTGAATTGAGAATATGAAGGCGAATAAGATAGACTGAAGAAATATACAGGGTGTCATTCGAAAAAAATTTGGGTTACTTTCGGTCAGAGAGATGGTTGGAGGAAATTGTCATCAGGTTCAAAGAAAAGCGCTATCATTCATTATATATCCACTGTGAATTTCAAAATTTTATCTCATCAAATAAAAAAACTACAGGCTGCTACATGTCTCTTGTGTGACCCGGTATAGGAGCAGAATAAATTGAAAAAATCTAGTAGTTCTAAAGTTAACACGGTAGGGACAGGCTTCACTTCATCAGCAAGCGTGCGAACATTTCTGTCATTGGGAACATGAGATACATGTTCGCTTGATTCAAAGTATCGATAAGTTTACATTCTGCGATAGTCGAAAAACTGACTCCCTCCTCAATTTTTTGTTCATGAATTCAATATAATATAGTCAGTTATCATAAAAAAAATTATAATACTATAAATGGAAGTTTAATAATAGTTATCCATGAAGGGAATTTTATAGTCACTATTTCAACCATCTTGAAATTGTCGCATGATCTGATCTATCAGCGTGGTGTTTTCAACGATGTAATCATGGATGGCAAAGCAAATTTTGAGAGTTTCACATAAAATATTTATAGCTATAGATGTCAGAATGAATCGCTTTGGTTATAGTGGTTTGTTCATAATTATTGTATCTTATGCTTCGTGAAATAGTCTAACAAAATTCCACTCTCTTCTGAATATCTCCTCACAATTTTGTCTCTTATTGTTAACTCAATAATTGTGTTGCCATACAGCAATACCACTCGTCCTGACGGACTCGTGTTGTTGCTCGGCAATACATAATTTCGAGAATAACAGAGCGACAAAATTATCTCGAATATTCAGAACATCGTGATATTGCTGTTGACAATTCCCAGATGAATTTTAAATTGTCAGTTTTGAATATTGATATTTTGTTGTGGAACTATTGAGAATGTTGAGGTCTGAACTGCAGAAGCAAATGGTTGAAATGATACAATTGAATCAGCAAATGCAATCACACTTAATTTTATAACTTCATGATTTCAAAGGAATCTAGAGCTAATTTCTAACGCTGTGTTATGGGAATATGAAATATATTTTGTCAGTGTGATGTTTGCACTAGATCTTGTTCAACATCCCTGTTTGAAAATGTTAAGGTCGCGCCGACTTCGCCAACACTTCGAGGTCGACTTTTTGTACTCTTTGCATGAATAATCTACATCTAATAGTGTTTCTACAATTCTAGGTAGGCGATCTTGGTCAACTCCAGAAAAAACAATTTGTAGAGTGGAATTTGGAAGAGAGGTGAAGAATGGGGAGTACCCTGATAGACAGAAGATCAAGCGAGTGTTGAATAAGTATGAAGAGTTGAGAGGTAGAACACCAGCTATGCTGATGAGCCACTTACAGCATGCTATCAAGAAATCTAGAGAGAGCAAAGAATGAACTCATAAGTGCTCACCCACGTATTGGTTCTAACAATAAACTTGTTTGTAAATGACAATTTTTATAATTTTCTCTCGTTTTGTTCTTTTATATTCGATTTTCGTATTATTGAGAATATTGAATAAACATACATACATTCATAAATATGTTGAATTTTTCGAATGCTGTATTCCTGAGACAATTTAAGAAAAACATCTATAAAAACTTTTGTCCAAAAATCGGAGATACTTGGAATTGAATTTTTCTTTATTTTTTTTTCAAATTACTCTTGGAAAAATGAGTTTTTTGTGAAATTTTGGAACCCAGGGTGTCTTTGAGGTGGAAAATCATAATTTCGTCTTGATTTTCATGTAGGGCCTAGAGAGCGCTGCTTACGCTGTCATTATTTATTGAAAATTTCTCTATTTTGACAGCAAAATATTTTTCATGAAAAAAAACCGCTAGTACACTTCCTTAACAACGATGGAGTTGATCGTTCTCGAGATATTTACAATTTTCTATGTCGATGCACTTTAATAAGTGCCTGATAACTTGGCGGTGTTTCTAAGAATCAAAGAAAGTGAATTGCTCTTTGTAGCGCAATTTGATCGTTGATATCTCAAAAAGTATAGGTCCTAGCGTCCTGCGTGTTAATCGTTTCAGAACGGTCTGGTTTACTAAGAAATGAGCTAGCTAGTCGCGAGATTGTTCGCGTTTTTCTATAGGAATAATTGACGTCGAAAAGTCGTTGTATCGTCTCTCGAAAGCTTTCTCGGATTTTTTCAAGTTCGAAAATTTTTCAATATTGAATCTTAAAAAATTAACTTACAGAGAAATATCAGCAACAGGCACGTCACCAAATGTACATACCTACCCAAGGATGCAAATAAGGAATGTTATCAGGTAATGTTAACATTTTGCATTATTCAGGCTTTTGGAATAATTCATCGGTGATTCTCATTGGCCAGTGAAATGCCCACCCTTTACCAATTAAACGCAAAACAAGATTGCCTAGCAACTGCGGAAATGCATTCAAAGCTATACAGGATTGGTCAGATTATCGTAATAATAAGTATACTCAAGGTATAATGAAGTACAGTTCTTTATATTATAATCAAATAATGCATTATGAAACTAGAATATACAAAATAACAACTAGGTAGTGATCAATTAACGTTGTTTGAAATCATCGTCTAATACTCCATCCCTTTAACACTTTTTTATAATAAATTCGGAAAAACTGTCAGAGAATACACTTCAGATGTACAAAAATCGAATATTACTCATGTACTTCTAGACTATGTATTGTGAAATTTTCATGATTAAACATACAGGGCGATGATACAAAAAAAGGGCAAAATTTTTCATTTCATTTTCATTAGCGATTTATTATTGCAATCATCTTGTAACTTGATAATTGATCGTGAGCATGATATGGCACTTCCATTGACTGGACTTCTTCAATTTCGTAGGCGCAGGTATTCTTCTCTCTGGGAAATGTAGTGATGTTTGTTTCTTTTCTGCAAAATAACATGTTGAATATTACACTCGAAGATATACGTAGACATTTCAGAGTCATTAATAGATCGGGAGCCAACAACGCGTATTTTTTGTGTCTCATTAGGCCTTTTCGGAAACCTACTCGGGTTGAACCGATCCTTAACCTGCATGTTCGTTTACCTACTCCAAGATTAACTACCCGAGTTCGGAAAATTCAGTGCGGCTTACTCGGTCATTAACCCAGGTTGATTGTTCGTAACCCTACTACTACTAGTTGGAGTCGTTACCACTGAACTATTTGTGAATTGAATATTTTCACTGTTAATTCAATGGAAAAACTGAAAAAAGACATTTTCTCATCTCTGAAATGATAAGTAAAGAGACAACTAATGCTGCAAGTTCGTTTTATTTTCTTATTTTGATAATCATTATTATTGTAATCATAACGAATTAATCAATTCAAAAGTGCTCGGAAATGGGTTTTTATTACAAAATGATTATCTATAAACTAATGAATTACTATTTCTAATAAATTATTAATCATTGATTATAAAATGACAGAGCGCCATCTTTGGACAGGATCTGTGATTAATGGTCATAAAATCCGTTTCCAAAATCTAGGAAAGTCGGATAACCATCAATCACGATGTGTCCTATTGGTGAGATGCCACCATAAGCATTGAATTTGAATAACTCGATTTATTCTTTCATTGTCACAGCTGGATATAACAACGGACCAGTTTCGCTTTTTTTTAAAGCTCGTCAGCGCTGTATAATATCCAACCATGACGACGAAAGAACGGATCGAGTATTTGTAAGCGAGTTAACAGCACTCGTGAGCGAATGTTATAAAATGACAGAGCGCCATCTTAGGACAGGATCTGTGATTAATGGTCATAAAATCCGTTTCCAAAATCTAGGAAAGTCGGATAACCATCAATCACGATGTGTCCTATTGGTGAGATGCCACCATAAGCATTTAATTTGATGGTTATCCGACTTTCCTAGATTTTGGAAACGGATTTTATGACCATTAATCACAGATCCTGTCCAAACTCGCTTACAAATACTCGATCCGTTCTTTCGTCGTCATGGTTGGATATTATACAGCGCTGACGAGCTTTAAAAAAAGCGAAACCGGTCCGTTGTTATATCCAGCTGTGACAATGAAAGGATAAATCGAGTTATCCAAATATTAATCATTGATGACTACAGATTCATAATTCAACTGAGATTTGTAACCTTATAAGTTCGTGAACATAAGTAACCTGAGTGATCAGTCACGTGACCTCCTTGGATCGGGCTGGCGACCCGGAGTAGGTTTCCTGAAAAGCCTATCTGTTCACATTCAGCAGTATAGGACTCCCCCAAATTTTACCTTCAACTACACGGATATGAGCTCGCCGAATAAAAATCGTGGACCAAAGGGTAGGCACTGCGTGGGTGAATCATAACTTATCGATTGGCGTATGTCGCAAGATACTGTATTAAAAAAAAAATATTGGGTAGACGGTATTGCCGAACGTGTAGGGTGGAAACAGCACCACTGATCGTCGTATCCACCCTAATACATGCCTCATACACGTTCGGCAATGCCCTCCTCCCAATGTTTTTTTTTTCAAATACTGTAACTTGCGACATATGCCAAAGGGTAAGTAATGATTCGAGATACCGGGTGTTTTGATACAACTTCACCCACGCGGCTCCTACCCTTGAGTTCACGATTTTTATTCGGCGAGCTCATATCCATGTAGTGGAAGGTGGAATTTGAGGGATTCTTATCCCACTGAGCAAAGTTATATTGAATCAATATTGCAGCAACCTGTAAAGGTGCAGCAACTACTGAAACGGACGTTCAGTAATATTACAAATGTAATATTTGAAAAATTAACATTCCTGTAAAGTAGCTGCAACCTTCCAGGTAGATTACAAGAAAATGGCATATCTAATATAATATGATTGCTACCTTCCAGCAATTCACCATAAATATATTCAAACAATATTACAAATGGAACCCAATTTTCAGTTGAAGATTGATTTTTAATTCATTATTTCGAACGAGAATTAAATAAATATAGGAACATGAGTGAAACGAATGTAGGTATACAAAATGAATGTTTGCACACTTTTTATGTTAGCTCTGGCACTCAGGTGAGTTTTTTCCCATTTTATTATGAATTTTCATCAAGTAACAGTCGAATCCATTCAATTTTTGAAATATATTGACTTGAAGTTTGATGATTGATTGATGACTATAGCTGACCGTTTTATCAATGCACCATATTATCAATAAAATTACCTTGTAACATAACAAGATATATTCATCTTTTTATCCTGTCATATCTATAGTTTTGGCGAACTGCAAGTATTTCTGCATCTGAAAAAAAAATATTGATGTGAATACCAACCTACCTCTGTATCTGATGCAAACTCGAATATAATTCTCTTGTACCGTCTAGTGTTTTTCCTTTTGAAACTATTCACAATTTTCAAATTACCTTTTGTTTTTGTCCTTGCCAGTCTAACTGCCAAATATGACAGTTCCAGACATCTTGTTGTACACTTTTTCTGTTTTCCCTGTATATCTAGTTTTGGCAAACTGCGAATGCCAAAGGCCATCACACGTCTTTCAAAGGCATTATATTGTCTATTATAGATGGTAAAGTAATTTTCACTATGGTACCTATTTCTGACTGCATCTGAAACCAAAATATTGATGTGATATATGTTGTGTTAACTCCTTTTTCAGTGGGCATTAGTTAGATTAAAACAATTATTTTACAATTAAACTGTATTCTCAATCCTTTATTTGACAACACCAAAAATATATGGGCTCAAGGCATCACGGTTACAATCTCGACTGTCTCTCTCTCTCCTTCTCCCTCTCTCTTCCCTACTTTTACTACCAACTTAAATAATCTAACGACAATATTGAGCATTACTGGTTGCATACTATATGCTGCTAAACTAAATTATATCATTCGGCCATTTCTGACTCTGAAGTCGCCCTCGACTTACAAAACAAACTAATACTAACTATCAACTTTTCAAACTTGAAAATTAAACATTAAAACAATGGCATTATACTACTAATAATCTGTTTCATAATCTGACAAATATCTGGGTTTTCTTGTCCTTCTTCTAGGGTTTTCTCTTGCTTCGTTTTCTTCTACTTCGTTTGCTTCGTTTTCTTCTGCTTCGCTTGCTTCGTTTTCTTCTGCTTCGCTTGCTTCATTTTCTTCTGCTTCGCTTGTTTCATTTTCTTCGCTTTCTTCACTTTCTTCACAATTTTTATACAATTTCAGCTGGGATACATTTGCTGTTGTTGTGTATTTTCGATGTTCAGTCCCTTCTATACTTGACACTCGATAAGTATCTCCTGGCAATACTTCGATAACTGTCAGTGGTCCTCTATATTTTGGTTGAGTTTTCGTTGACTGGCCGGTATTAATTGGTTGGATTCTCATCATGACTATATCTCCGACCTGATATTTTAATCCTTGGTAACGTTTTTTGTCGTATCTCTTTTTATACTTTTCCTGCTGTTCCCTTATTCTAGTCCTGATCTCTTCTTGTATTTCAGCTGGTGGTGTCCATTCATCTGTGTCGTTGATCGTTTGGCTCAATTTACCATCCTCGAACACCGGTAGATATCCATACAA